CTCGAACAGAATACTTAGAGATTCACGAATTAATATAAAACAAGTATCTGCAATCGAAATTAGCAAAGAACACTTGAAATTTTATATATTTAATTTAGAATGACTACGAATCTACGAATCATAGAATATAAAACATCGAATATCCATCACTTGCTATTAGCTTCTGAAGAGAATGATCAATAAAATTAAATGAATTTTTATCGGTCATTCCCTTCGTTCGACCGTACGCACGATAAAGTATAATGTACACATAAATAATTACATAGGTACAATTAGGCATAGTTTCGATTTATATACAAGATACATGTAACACAGAGAAGTCGATCAATTTATGCGATCAATTGCTTCAACAAGCGAATTCCGTTCTCCCCGTACAGTCGTTTTTCTTTTAAAGTCGTTCTCTTTTCACGAGTATTTCGCGTTCTGTTACCGATCCTGGACACGCCTGCGTGACAATTATATATGCTGACGGTACTAACGCTTTAAATTACCCCCCCGCAAATTAATTATAACGACTCGTTACAGTCACTCCTGAGACTTTCGTCACCGATGACGCATGCCTTCTTTTCATTCACCTGTCCGTTCAATTAAAATGACTATAATACATAAATGAAATACTTTGTTTACTGTAACGTATCAACGATTCATGATTAATCAGATGTTCGACTTTAATTAGCTTTAAGAATGTCGTGAATGAATGGGACGAAAGTATCGCGTCGTCGTCAATGAAAGTCTCCCCGATACATAAACATTCAATATAGTATAACATAATTCGCTATCCGAGATTTGTTTTCTCTTCATTTTTACCGCTGCCTATCAGCTCCATCCGGAATTAATTTATCCATTTGCGCGACTTAATTATTTCTGTTGAATTTACCCGACGATGGAGACGTTGATTTTTCTTTCGAAATCTACACACAGTTACTCGGAACATTGCGCTAGACTTATTGAAATACGTCGTAAACACAATAAATTATACTAAACAATCGTAATATCGTCTACACCCTCCGTTTCGCTGCCGTTTCCGAGCGAGCCTCGGGAGAGGAAAATGATAAAGGCAATTCCTCGGTCAGTTTCGCTTCGATCAAATAAATATTACTAATCGCGTGGAATATTTCTAACAATCATAAGGTAACTATGGAATATACGTGTGACCTCACGTAAATCTCGCGACGAAAAGGGTTCCTCGCGGCATTTACGCGAGACATACTTTTGTAACAGTCCGAGTAATTGCTCCGAAAATTAATTTGTCTGTTTGCGTGTCACGAAGTTGCGACGTTCAACCGGTCTCAGGACTCTTCTAGCTCCCAAGCGCGATCAAATCTCTCGACGGTTTTCTCAACTCGTATTAAGACTCGAGGAAGTACGTATACATATTTAACGATCGCTCGCTAAGCGGTACAAATTACGCAGATTCTAACACGTGTGTAAAATTTGTAAAACAGGAATTCCTTTGAAGCATATTTAACTATACAGATAAAACGGATTAAACATAAGACGCTCCATACAAATGATTATATAGACCTATACGACTCGCCGGTGTGTTACTTATGTACAAATCTTTGGGCGATCACTTCTTCTCTTCTTCATCTTCATTTGTATGCTTATATACATGTGTATGTACTTTCAATGCGAGGCTCCTTACGGCAACCTTTTTATTTAACTATTAAAGGGCTTAATCGTGGTCTTCGAACCGCGCGCACGCGGTAGCATTATGTAAAATAAATCCTCGCGTAGAAGCGGTGGACAGATTCTACTCGTTAGTAAATGAAAATGTTTTTAACAGTCGCGGGACTTATAACGAAATGAAAATTGGAATTTATATAACTGGCTATCGAACGCGACGGAATTGCTAGATAAGAGGAATAATTTTTTCGTCAAAGCGTGATGATATTCGACCTACGTTGAATAACTGTAACAACAATGGAAAAAGAAAGCATGACGTTTCTTAAGAGGCCAACAAAAAGTGAGATGGAAGTTACAGGAAAACGAGATAAAATTGATAAGGAACAAATTTTCGTACCATACACTCGACGGCAATAGCGATGCTGTATCCTGCCTCTTGCAACGATGAACTTCATCCTCGAGTATATATAACTCTGTACGATACGATATATCGAGTTATTTTAACACTAGTACTATTAAGTACCAATAAGTGCACCAACGTTCATGACAGCACTTTCGTTTTTACCACTCTCTCTCTCTCTCTCTCTCTCTCCTAAATATTAATATTATCTTCTGGCTTTCGCTGATCCCATTTCACATTCAATTTTTCCATTTCTTTTCATTCATTCGATAGGCATTAATAGGGAGTATCTTTACACGTTGAATCGTGTTTCAGATCCGTCGGCGAGCATTAACGTGACTGTTCGATTATTTATCCATATTAATCGTGCTAGTCGCATCGGGTTCAATCGTGCCACGTCATTTATAGGCGCGGTGCTGTACGATTTCACGCAACGCGTCTGCGAATTACCTAGGCCGAACATACCGCTGCTTGTTTGCTGCAAGTAAAACAAATTGATCAAACCGAATTTAATGATTTCCATGAACGTGCCAAATCAGAATCCGACGTCTCACCTGCCAGAAACATAACTTATTCTCCGAACAGGAATAGCTAACCAGGAACTTGCCCTCGGGTGAAAATGCTAATGCAGTTAGAGGCGCCGAATGCGCGGGTACGGTTTGGCATTTAACGTTCCCTCGCAATTCGTATAAAGCCAACTGACCGTTACGACTTCCTACAGCTATCCTGCGAGTTGCCGGACAGTGGCTTACCTGAAACAAGCACAATTAGAGAAGTACAAGGATTAAGAGAATCACGATATGAAGTATGATTCAACTGACTTGATTAAATCTACACGCAGCCGGGAACACTTCGCTCAACGGCTTAGCTTTAAGGTGGCCCGGATCCAGACAATGCAAAATAATATCCATCACCTGCAGACATTATTAACATAATGAACACACAGAGAAACGTTTAATTTACGTCGTTTTAAATCGTGTGTCGTACCTCGACCAAGAGATCGCTCATTTCGCTCTGCATTTTATCGATCAACTGTTCGACGATCCTGAGTATCTCCGGCTTCGCCCTGACGAGAACGCTCTGGTTCATATTTACATTCAACGTCTGCGCGTTCTGCTGCAGCGTGTTGTATCTGGCCACCTCGCGTGCCATCGTAGTGATGAACGCCGCGGGCCGGACGGTAGCGATTAAAGTTAAAGCGTGCCGCGCGGTGCGGCACGTGTCCGCCTGAGGTGTCAACGGAAGCCCGTACGTCATGTTCGGAACTAACTTATCGGCGTCGCAACACATTTCTAGCAATCCCAATAACACCTGTGTCGGGCAGCGTGAAACGTACACTGAATACTCTCTCCACGCTTACAATTATTGTAATCGAACAGTTGCCTCTTACTTTTGACACATCAAGGTACGGTTCCCAGACGGTGAAACCTCTACCAATGAGATCGATCGCGGCCCTTCGTAATGCCGTGTGCAACGGCAATTTCGGCGAGTGAGGCGCGTGCAAAAGATGCATCAGAGCCATGCTGGTATGCCTAGCGAGATTGTTGTTCCCTATCCCGAAACCTTCTACGATCGAACTTTTCCGTCTCTGATCGTTGTCCCTCTTCTGATTCGTGGTAGCCACGTCTTGTCCGAACTCGGCGCCTATCACACCCAACAGGACCACCGCGGTCGTCTGCTTCCGTTTCAATTCCGCCACGCTCGACGGTTTCCTAGCTACATTTGCGGGAGTAAAGATCTTTAAATAAGCTTGAGATAGGTTTCACGTTTAAGTAAGAATGATTCTATTCGAACCTTCCGTCAATTCCTCTTCCTCGTCTTCCTCTTCCGGATTGGGCTCGGTCACGGGAACAGGACTGCCCGGAGCCGGTGGACTCGGGTTCTGCGATTGCGGCGCGATAGGTTCTTGGGTGCTGTACATTGGTAAATATTGCGACCAGCTGTCTACGAGGGCTTTCCTCCCCTTCGGACCCATTCTCCCCAATTCGGCGAGTAACAAAGCCTGAGCAGCCTCGCGAATCTGAAATATTTTCATTCCACGTAGCACTACTTCAGTTTTATTAAATACTATCGATCGTTGCAAGACGAACCTCGAGACACTGATGTTGCCATCTACGAGCCATCATTTCGACTTGAGGCCGTTTGAAAGTTTTAACGCCGGTTTGCGATACTATTTTATCTGGCAATAGCACGCAATGCAGCGTAGCTAGAAGAGACCAGCCTTGTTTAATTTGTGCTTGCTGCGCGGTATAAATCTCTTCGTTCTCCTCCTCGGCTTTGTTCCAGTTAACCGTGGATCTATTCCCAGGCCTGTACAAACCGTAACATCAACTTGGTATTGGATTCTGATTAGTGAAAACAGAAATTATGGTTACTGACCGGTGCAGTTTACGGTTTCGTTCTTGTTCAGGTACAAAAGTGGCATTGTTCATTGACATTAAAGTATTTGCTAAAGCTACTACCGCTAATAAATGATTGCTAGTTAACGTGGTAGACAGTTCCCAATGCGCTCTCGCCGTAAACGCTCTGGTGAGTCTTTCCTGTCGCACCAATTCCGCTGGTAAACGTTGTTCCAGTTGAGTCGCCGGCTCGGCCAACGGTTCCAACTGCGTTTGCCAAGTCGGTAACAGCAGCGACATGTAGCCTACGAAAAGAGTAACGTTCGTTAATTAACAAATTAAAGCTCGTGAAGCTCGTGTATAAACTGAGCTTATTTTCATACCTCCTTTGGATAATACCCCGAACGAAACAGGAACCATCGGTCTTAATAAACCTAATTTCCCTTCGCAGACCCGGTCCAAATCTGGATCGATGCCCCACGCGTGTATCAAGCTCAGTATAAGTTGAGCAACTTCCATAGTCGCATTCGGTTCGCTGAACGCACCGTTCCTCTTCAAATTGTTCTTCGCTGCTTCGTTATTGTTCCAATTGTCACCTACGAATAAGAACGACTCGCTTAAGACTCCACTGTGATTTTTATTCCAAAAAATAGTGCGTCGGAGGAACGAATATGCAACGCTTGCAAAACCTGTCGCATGTTATCTAAGAATAAAAAAATAATAATCGCTGTGTGAGATGTAATGAAAGCAATCAAACTTGGAAACTAGAATAAACTGTCCTCGAATTCTATCATCGGCAACTGTTTGATTAATATTATTTATAATAAATGACGAGATTCCGTATTCGAAGACAATTTACTTTGACATCCAAGGGAAACAATAAGACAAAGTATCTTCGTGATGCTGCAAATAAATAAAAAATGAGCTTACATAAGGCTTAAAAGAATGAGGAAGCTGTAAAACGTATATCGAGTCATTTTAACGTTCGCCACTGAAGCAGGTGATGAAAAGAAAAAAAAATGGAAAGCAAATATGGCTAATCTACTCTAACAAAAAAAAATTCGTGCCACGATTTTAACTGAGGAGATAATTTTGCCATTTTCCTTAAATAATGGCTAACCTTTGCCGTCGAGAGTCGACGGCTTGAGGCCAACGCTTTCCACCTTGGCCTGAAACTTAGTGTGTACGTTCTCCGCACCCTCCTTCATTTTAGCCAATATACCTACAGAAAGAAATCGGCTTTAGACGGTACAACAAATTTACGGTTTCAACACGAATCTTCTAATCACTACGGCCGGGATGTAAATAAAATACACCGGGGAAAATTGGGCCACGCGTGAAGGCAAGAATTAAGTGCTATCACTCGAACGCAAAGCTGAACGACTAGCTTATCGAATAAATAGAAACGTTCCAATCAATCAAGAAAACGAAGATGAGAAATCCAAGTGGAATTTAAACATTGGAACTTTGCGTAGAACGCAAAGGATTTGAAACGTGTGACCATAATCGTCAGAAATCTTGGTATCTACAAGAGCATGCGTGATTTCGTATCGTCAAATATTTGCTGTGCCAAAAATGCTACGCAGAAGTTGCAAAGTGGATAACAGAACACAATACCGTGACGATCCTTCTCCTTTAAAATTCGTTCAACATCGCCTGCCTTATCCTTGACGCGACCGAAAAAATCTATAAAGTGGCATGTTAGTACAAAAATTTTATCTCAGTAAAATACAGATATTAGCCAAATGTGGAACGAGAGAACGAAGACGGCGGAAGCATTTTTACCTGCGATCTTTTTATGAGCGTCCGGACTGGCAGACTGGGTGAGCGCCGCGACTTTCTGATACTCGGAGGCCGAGATTAGACCTTGCGCTTCCAAAGAGCCTGGCGACATTGCTCCATATTCGTCACTAAGTAGTTGTACTAAAATAAAAAATAATCATTGCACACATAATTGTTGGGGAACATCGAACTAATTATAAAAAAAAGAAAGCGAGGAATTACCTATTAATGCCTCTATGTCAAAAAATAATATATGACTTTCCGGATCCTTTGGATTACTCCTGAACCCTTGAATCATAAGCGGCGTGCCCTTTGCCTTTATCTGACTGCCATGGTCGACCCCGTGGCCACCATGTAGTTGCTGTAGCTGGTGTAAGCCTCGTTGAGTCGCGTGTCTTATGGCCGAGAGATTTCTGTGCCTCAAACCTCTGAATAAACAAAATGCCAGAAGCACGATAAAGATTATTATCCCCTGGCATTGTTTACCCGTGGTCAAGTTTCTCAGCATCCAACATTTCATTTACCTAAAGAAATGTACAGCAGGATTAGCTAAGCCTAGTTCCCCGCCCGTGGCCGATCCGCCAGCCGCAGCAATAGTATTTTCGTCGCACGCGTAGAGAACCTCTTCCGCAATAATACCTTCAGAAAATTAAATTAAAAATAAAGAATTGTTTCAAAAACGATAGAATCAACAGACGTACCATGTAACACACGATCTAAATGACCGGTTTCCATTTGCCAGACGTAGACAGCTCCGTCCGAGCATCCGACGATCATGAAATCGTCAAGCGGCCTCCACTTTATCGTGACAACTGGGAACAAATGTCGTGAAGCGAGAACGACGCATTTTCTTTCTGCCAACGATAACAAAGTAACGCTGTGATCCGACGCAACGCTGCAGACGCACTTCTGTATTCTAAGCTAAAAGAACAAGGAAACTATCATTAATAACGGCTAGAGATCAAGAAGAAATACGATAGATAAGACATTGAACGTACACTGCAGTTCTCAGGCGGTACCATCAACTGCGTGATCTCACCCGCGTGGACACAGAATCTGTGAATGAGTGTACCGGCGTAAAGGTCCCACAGGCACACGGCGAAGTCTACGGATCCCGAGACGAGATGAGACCGATCGTAACGAGGAGCCGCTCCGTGCGGATACAGAAGGCAATTCACTCGTCCGGTGTGACCCACGAGCACTTGGTGCGGCGGCCAATCTACAAGCCGTGTTATAAAGTAAAGAAAACTAAGCACGGAATTAATATATCTATTGTACCATCGTATTGCTGATGATTGCCGTGAAGCAGTTGAAGCATAACCGTTTGCGTCGCAGGAACGATGATGATACTGCCGTCCTCGCGGCCGACGACCAAACGGCTCTGCTGCGGCAAATATATACAGGCTGTTAATTTGATCCCGTTCCCATCCCCGCTGTCCAGCTGATCTAATATTCCGACCGGCGGCGGTTTCATCTCGGCCCAAGCAATCTCGATGCTGGTTTTCACTATCGGCGGTAACTCAAGCGCGGTCGACCGATCGTTTTGGCAAATTTGAGTCAACTGTTGGGCCGAGACCTCCGGCACTGTCCAAAGGATAACGACTCCCTCGCTGTCACCTCGTAACAGATATTTCACTGTTTTACTCTGTTTCTGGACGGTGACTAAACGCATCGCTGGTGGGCAGGACAAAGGCTGAAACCAAAGGCAGATCGTTCGTAAATAGACAGAATTAATTCGATTTTTGTAGAATTCGTTTCAAGCTCACCTTGTCCCCGGGCTGCGTCAGAGTGCAGTAGAGGTAGGGCTGGTCGTATTCGGCAGCCGCGGTATGAAAATTTTTATTGTCTGCAACGCTACTGTACAACGAAACAAATAACATGTTACATCATAGGTTTAAATGATTTGTTTCTTTTTAATACGTATCAACATAGATTTCTATATAATACTACGAAGTATTGTACATAGTTGAGTACTAGTTTTAATCGCTTCACTTAGATAATGCCTAATTCAAGCGATAAAGCATTTTCAATTTTAAAGTGCGAATAGGTATAGCGTAGTTTACTAGAGGCTGTATAAGCATTGCTACTTTCTATACATAGTTTTTCATAATTTATGTGATTTCCAATATACATACATATGTACAGAAGACACTGAGACATATAAAGCAACTTAAAACAGATAAAATATGAGAATATGATAAGACGTGAAATGCAGAGGGACGTAACATCTATCTTCTTTCAACCCCCCCAATCTTGTTTCTACTGTAACAATTGTAGTCGTGGTAGAAGCAGAAAAATCAGAATAGATGCAGTGATAGCAGATGCTCTTATCGTTTAAAGCAAAATTAATAAATCGTTGATTTATTCAAATGCATAAAATGACAAATGATGAATTATACAGATCTTGTTTTCGATTCTAGTCTAAAAGACCGTGTTCGTTTATACTTAGTAGAAATTTGCGAAAGTCGATTTACCACATTTAGACTAGAGGAAAGTGGAGAAGAAAAATAAACCTTTAATCTCAGCAGAACGGATATGAGAAACATAAGAGACAAGAGGTAGAGTGAAGAATACAAGAAGTAGTGTGTAACAGAGATTAATGCAGGGTTACCTGCTGAGAGCCTTGCCCTTCAACTTGCTAGAAGAACACCAGATCCACCGTAGAATGTAGTAGATGTGTATTATATGAAAAAGATAGATCGCCGTAAAAACTAATCGTATCATGAAACCGTGTTGCAAAATGGGTGGAAATCATAAATTAGTCACAGTGGCTTTTGCTTGAAAGCCCTAATTGTTTATTCCACTTAAATCGGGAAGAGTCTCTTTCGAAATTTCTTCTTAATGACTGAATATGAATGTTCGTGATAAATTAAGTAAAAAACGAGTACATGATAAACAAATATCGAATGTGCATTGCTAGCCAGTGCTGCTATGAAATAGCTTGTAACTTCGAGATGTTCAACTCGAGGGTTCTGATTAATAGGGAGCATGTGTGTTCGCTGTGAAAGATTCGTCGATGTGTCTAACAGCAAACGAAATATATTCAGACTACTAATTCGTGAACGTAAATTCAATTTTCAGTTACTATATTATTTGTTTAATAGTTCGTTAAAGCGCATAAACACGTGTTAGTAGTTTAACATAATAAAATTGAGCGTCGTTCTCAGAACAAAATTTAGTTAATCATTATTTTATATAAAAAGAATTATATATT